GTACTCGAATGTTCCAAAGCTGATAATTGAAAAGTACTCAACTAATGGCATGCCAAGTGTACTAATAATTCTCAATATACATACAATGAGCTCATGTATCATAAATAAATATATCATCAAAAATATCATGCTTAGGCAGTTCATACCCTAAATCATTCATAAAACTGATATAAAATATTATAAAAATATTCTTTATAAACTTTATAAATCTTGCTATAAATTGGAATGAGGTTGACTTATCGCAAGTAGTCATTGATCAAAATAATTAAATAAATAACTGCACTCACCTTTGCCTCACTATAATACCCTTTAAACGATATTCCTAATCACATGCTTTTCATTTCGAATCATTCAGATTGTTAGATTTATCGTGGTCTGACAATACCAAATAATACACAAAGTTTTCAAAATATATTAGTATCGTACTAACATAAACTGATTTTAACATTCGAAAATTTATAAAATAAAAATCGGATTAAAACGATATCAAACTAAATCATATTTCCACTATAATTTCCAACTTCTCAAAATACTCATACAAATCCATGAATATTTATTTTCATCCCCAACTCTTCGTCTTTTGCTAATTTACACAAATAAGCCACAAATTATAAATTCTTTTTAGAATTCACCTCAACCTTTCCATTTAGTTCATAATGATCCTTACCATTAAGATCATTGCACGTTAATTACTAAAATTCTAACCCTTTAATAAAATACTCAAATCAATACCTCAACATTCCAAACATTTATAATTTCAACTCAAACTTTCCTAACTTTCTATTTTCAACCACCTAACTTTATAAATTTGCAATTCAACTCCAACTCAATATTTAATTCAAAATTCAGCATACTAATAAATTTTCCAGCATTAAATAATTTACCTAAATAATACATCCACATTTAATAACTTACGTACAAGTCCCCAAGGTTTGGGACCTTTCGAATTCCACCTCAAAATTTACCAAATTTGCAATTTGGTTCCCTAACAACTTTCCAACTAAATTTCCAGCAATACAAATATCAATAATCAACATGGAATCCTTCAAATATTTCAATGTTACAATAATATCCCACAAATTCAAAAACTTGTAAACTAGCCCTTTTGCACTTTTAAGGTTCCAAATTGATCCAAATCAATCTCCAAATAACATAGAATACTTCTAATATCATTTGTAATCCATAGGAAAATTTTCAACATTTTCCCCAATTTTCTTCCCTATGGCCGAATAATTCAAGTCACTTAGGGGAACTTTTTGTTCAATTTCAAGCTTCAACCTCCTATGATTAAATTCATTCATTTCAAACATCACATCAAATTGAATAAAAATCTCATCATTCTCACAAACCCTAACATGGCCAAATCTTATATACACATACAATTAATTCTAATAATTGTATATGCTTTAGAAATAATCACTAACATTAAAAACATAAAAATCCTTCAACAACTCTTGAAAATCACTAAACTTTTTAAAACCCTAATCATCAAATCTCATCACACAATCATCTTCATCATGAAATTATGGTACCAAATGATAGATAATTTCATGTAGATTAATTATTTATCTAATAACTAAACTCAAAAATCAAAATAATTTTTTTACCTTGAATAACTTGAAGTTTCGGTCCTTGGAGAGAATAAATCTGAAAATGCTCAACTTTTCTTGATTATTCTAATGATAATTAGCCTTAACACATGCTAAATACTAATATAATTGAATTTTTTATTCAATTATTAAGAAATTCCATTTTTGCCATTAATGAACTTACAAATTACCAATTTCTATTGTCATATTCTCCATTAAAATATTCTTTGGTCAAAGATGAATCAACTTGGGTTTGAATTTTTACTTTGGCCATTTAATTTTTGAAAATTACATTTTAGTCACTAAAATTCCATTGTTTCGGTCAAATCTGAAAAATTGCATTGTTATGAGCCAAATTTATCTGATCTAAAATATAAAAATAATATTTCCAACCATTTTATAACATCCTGAAAATTTTCGTAAAATTCTGGTTCGATCCGAATATCTGATTTCAATACCAAAATTTATCGCTTTAAAACTTTTAACACAAATCCCGTACCAAAAATATGATTCCCACTAAAATCTCTATTTCAATCCAAATTTTTCATTTACATGCTAAAATATATAACTTCTAAAAATTACAATTTCAGTTCCTAAATTTTTCAAAGTTTATACTTTAGCTACTAAACTTTTAAAACTTATATTTTAGTCACTAGATAAAATTTGGGGTATTACAGGTCGACTATATATACCTTCTCATTTTACTAAATCACCATCTTGTATTGAATTTTTAACATTATTCGGTGTTAATATGCTCACTAATTTTTCAAATTGACCTTTTAGTTTTTCGAATTGACCATTCATTATAGCAAATTATTTTTCAATATTTTGCACCAAACGAATGAGTGTTTCGAACTTATGATCACTCTGATAAGAAGTTCTTATCTTTTCCTAATGTACAACTTCATTTTTCCCTATATGTATATAAAAAAAATCTTAAATAATATACACCGAAAAAAATTCATCGTTATTACTAAAATTTTAGTTAATTATAATGAATGTAACTCATTGTTTGTCTTCTCCGAATTCATGTCGATATGACGCTTATACTCCATCATCTTAACTTGTTTTGAAGGCGTTAAGTTTAGATCCATCATCTACGTTAAAAAGATAAAATATAAGTCTGCATACTTAACAAAATATTGTACAAATCAAGCATATCGTACCGATGACCTCTAGCAATATATCGGTACACGTATTTGAAATAAAAACAGTGTACTATTATGTTATCAGTACATTATCTATACCAATACTGGGATAATCGCGTACCAATACACATGAGCCAAGGTATTGGTATGAGCTGCTTGATTCAAATTGGGAAATCATAATTGGATTTCAAGAATACAATTTGAACGTAGGAATTAAGGTTCAATAGTTCTAATAGGGGTTCTAAATTGAGAATTATGGTAATCAATTTGGGCATTAAGGTTTTATAATTGGATTAATTAGAAAATTAGGGTTAGGGTTATAGTTAAGGTTTAGGAATTAAGGATTAGGGAAAGATGATGAGAGGCGGTAGTCCTATATTGGCATCCACGACCATTGTCGATGAAGATGCCGACAGCTGGTGATGCACCACCCGCCGATGATGGCTCAGATAGAAGACCAAGTTCGAAACAAAACAAAATTAATCAAGCTTACCTTAACGGGTTGCTTGCACGAACGGCGGTGAATGACATCCACGTCGAGAGGGATGAACGATAAAGATTCAATCGATGACGACAAATGATATTGACTGCTACGACGACATCAACGATGGGAACTTCAAAGCTTTAAAATAAATTAGGTTTTTTTTTTAAATTTAGGGGTTACTATTTGGTATAATTATAATAAAAAACAATATTATAAAACTAATGTAATTAATATTATATTTTAAATAAATTACTTTTAGATTTTCAACTAAATTATAATTGTACGTTGAGTACTTTATAATTTTAACATTTTATAAATTAATTTATCGATGCTCATCATTAGTAGTGCTTATCGGTTCTCGTCAAACGTGAGATAATCATCCATATCAATTAACATATATAATTGAAAAATAAAAGTGTAACTAACTTTTTTAAATACGTGTAAATAGTAAGTAAACCTATACATTTGACAATGAACTTATAAACCCTTAAAAATAATTGATATAATATGATTAATTGTTCAGTTATAACCTAAAATGGGGACACAATCAAAATAAACTAAAATTTAAAGGACTAGATACATGTTTTTCCCTATATATTTTTAATAATAAAAATAAGAGGGAAGTGCCCTCTAATCTTACACATAGCTCTGTCCCCAAGTAATATGTAATAATATATATATAAATGATAATTAATTTTGAGTTTTAAAAAAATAATGACTTTATCTTCGAAAGTAGAAAGAATTATAAAGAATTTGAGAGGACACAAAATCTTTTAATTTCATTCTATATAATGATTTTGGAGGATGTTATACAACATTAATTATCGTTTATATTACATCATATTATTACATAACATTCAAAAGCTTTTACAAGACAATATTATTTTAACGATTTTATTAACAAAAAACGTGATTAACACATACTATAGTTTAGGATAAAATTGAAATGTTCAAAAGTTTAAGGATTAATAAAAAAATGAGAGACATATTATGGGTATTAAATTGGAAACTTTAAAAGTCTAAGGATCAATTTAGAAGTAGCCGTAGTTTAATAATGGAATTGAAACATTCAAAAGTTTAAAGAATAATATAAAATAAAGAGCATAATTTGAGGATGTGTGATGGAATTAATACTTAGAAAAAAGGGTAAATTATATGTTTAGTCCTAAACCATCAATTTTGATCTATTTGGTACATAAACTTTTAATTGTTTTCAAAATAATACCTAAATTTTAGTTTTTGTTTCATTTTAGTATTATTGTTCAAAATTTAACGTTAAATTTTGAAAAATATTGAGAATTTAGATGCTAAAACGGACCAATAATGATAGTTTAGATACTAAACACATTACTTTTTAAAGGCGAAATACTAAAATGAAACAAAAACTAAACGTTGATGTGATTTTGAAAAAATTGAAAGTTTAAGTACTAAAACGGATAAAACTGATAATTTAGGTATTAAATACGTAGTTTACCAAAAGAAAGTGAAAAATGACAATGATTGATAAGCATCCAAATCCTATAACTCATCCAGGACCTCTAATTAGCCCAATCCACCGGATGGACGCCACGTAGCAACGGCAAACAATTTTCAAACGTTTTCTTTTTTGATTTGTTTCTGTTTTCTACTGACTGGTGATTGCCTAATGTTTCTCACGCGCCAATCGCGACAAAGTTTCGCGTGTGACACGTGACGCAGCCGTCACCTGTCCTGTAACGCTAATTATTTATATTATCTTTTTTTGCGTTTCCCTGCGTTGTCTACAGAAAATACGCAATAATAAATACCCCCAGATATTCGACTGGAAGAGAGGAATAGTAGTGGTGGCGTGTATCTTTGTCCCAAAGAGGAGGAAGAAGAAGTTTATCAGAACTGGCAAACAACAACTCGACGGACAAGTTAGACATTCTAACCCTCTTCTTCTTCTTCTTCTTCTTCTTCTTCTTCTTGAAATGGATGTGTGTGTAATTTGTTATAATGACTTGATTTCTTTGTTTTTTAGATGGATTATGAAACGGCTGGTTTATATACTTTGGATGAAGCCCTCGAAACTGTGGGGTTTGGGAGATTCCAAGTGTTTGTGCTTGGATACGCTGGGCTAGGATGGCTTGCTGAAGCTATGGAGATCATGATTCTCTCCTTCATCGGACAAGCCGTTAAGTCGGAGTGGCAGCTTTCCTCCTCTCAGGAGAGCCTGTTGAGCACCATCGTCTTTGCTGGGATGCTCATCGGAGCTTATACTTGGGGCATTTTGTCCGATAATTACGGTAGGAGGTATGCTCATCACTCCCCTTTCTTTCTTTATTAGTCTCTTGTTGAGATTTAAATTGCGGTTGCGGCTGAGTTTTTATTTGAATTGGACTATCATGATTGTGGACATAACAGATGCGTTCATTACGGACTATATCACTGTATAACGGTCGCTAATTCAATGGCAGACTTAAAGCCCTGGTCGCTGATTATCATAAAATTTAGATATTTTCTTGAATTTTGTTTTGATAATCTGTTTTCCTACTTCCTTGATTGACTCTGTTTGGCTTTTGATTTTGGGGTTCAATATGCTTTAACTGTTTGTTTTGATTTTTGTTTTACCAGGAAAGGTTTTCTTGTTATATCCATAGTAACATTTGGAGCTGGATTCTTGAGCACCTTCTCTCCAAACTATTTATCACTTGTTGTTCTCCGGGGTTTGGTTGGTTTTGGCCTTGGTGGTTCGTCTGTGTTCTTATCCTGGTTCCTAGAGTTTGTTCCCGCTTCCAATAGAGGCATGTGGATGGTTGTGTTTTCGACTTTCTGGACATTTGGGTCCATCTTTGAGGCTACTCTCGCGTGGGTATGTATATTTCCTATACCCCCATTTAAGGACAGCCCTTACCTTCCCCTGTTTTCCATCTACTTAAAGATTTGGATCCATTTTTAATTTTATAAAAGGGACATGACATTAAAGGGACAGACATGAGATTTCATGATAAGGGTGTGAACCTACAAAGAAAATACCTAAACTATGTAGGAATTTGAAATTTTCAGGGGTTCGACCGCACCCCCACGGTCCATCCCCGCATGACAATATTGGCCTAGAGATGTTAACTAGATGAATTTGTTATCAAGAAAGAGGATGTCCAAGGAAAATGAGTTCATCTCTGTGCAAGAGAGCTCTTAAAATGGATTCTCTTGTCATCATGAAAATAAGTTAAAGTCATTAAAAAGGGTTTTGTCTTGGCAAAGATTACATTCTTTAGTCTTTACCTTGTCATCTCTCTAGATTTTGCAGACAAAGGCTTCTTAACTGAAAGTAAGAGGCACCATCACTATGGTTAATTTGGTAAATTTCTCTCCTCTTTGTAACTTGGTGCACTACTTTTTTATGTTCTATCAGCTCTATCAACATAGAAACATATCTGAGAATCGGAAATTTCTTGGATATTGGGGACTTAATTGTTGTTAATGCTGGCTAGCCACTCAAAATTTAAGTTGGAACATGAAACTTATCTGAGAATTGAAGATTTTCTTGAATATTGAATTTAAGTGTAGCTGGCTAGCTGCTCAAACTTCACCTTTTAAGTTTGAGTTCAAGTTCCAAGGAGCTATGGACATTCGAAAACATGTGGATTTTGTTTTCATGCAACGAGAAGAAATATTATTTCTGAGTGTCGGAATGACTTAATGTCCTTTCTATTGCAGATTGCCATGCCTAGATTAGGCTGGAGGTGGGTACTTGCGTTTTCATCTGTGCCATCTTTTGCTCTGCTTCTTTTGTTCAGTGTTGCACCCGAGTCTCCGAGATACCTATGCTTGAAAGGTAGAACAAGTGATGCACTTCAAATTATGGAGAAGGTAGCTTCAGCGAACCAAACAAAGCTTCCTCCCGGTGCCCTAATTTCCGGTAGATCAGGAGACAAGGATGAAGAGTCTGCTCCGTCCCCATCAGACGAGATGAGTCCATTACTTCCCTCACTGGATGAAAAAAGCAAGAAATCAATATCAGGCTTCTCATCGTTTTTTATGCTCTTCTCATCGAAATTAATTAAAACAACGATGCTCCTCTGGATATTATTCTTTGGAGACTCGTTTTCGTATTACGGCATCATACTCCTTACTTCAAAGCTAAGTAGCAATCAAAGTGGATGTTTCCAATCTCTTCATAGCACTAGAAATCTCCAGGGTGCTGACCTTTACTCAAATGCATTCATCACTAGTATGGCAGGTATTACGTCTCATCCTCATTTGCTTCTTTACGCTCTCTTTCTCGAAATAAAATCTGACCCTTGTCCATGTCACAGAGCTTCCCGGGCTTTTCTTGTCGGCAATATTGGTCGATAGGGTTGGCCGCAAACAGTCCATGGCGATTATGTTTGGCTTAGCGTTCATATTCCTTCTCCCACTTCTAGCCCATCAGCCTTCTGTTTTAACTACCTTCTTATTATTCGGAGCTCGCATGAACGCAATGGGAACCTTCACAGTTGCCTCTATATATTCCCCCGAGGTAAGCCATTTCGGTGACCCGAATTGCCGATTTCTTTTGTCACATAACTAAAGCTGTTTTTTTTTCTTTTTCGTGTAGCTATATCCGACCTCGGTGCGTACAACGGGGGCTGGAGTTGCGAGTGCGATAGGAAGAATCGGTGGTATGGTATGCCCTCTTGTTGCGGTCGGATTGGTGAATGCGTGCCATCAAACTGCAGCTGTAGCTCTGTTTTTGGTCGCTATAGTTGTTTCGATAATCTGTATCCAGTTCTTCCCCTACGATACCAAGGGAAGGGAACTCAGTGATACTAGCTGATGATGGCAAGCAAGACAAACACATTGCTGTCCATAATTTGTGTTTTAAGGGAAATAATTTGTTGTTGTTGATGTTGTTTTCTAGCCTCTACCTGTATTGATATTTGAAGCGTGGGGTGGAGATGTAATATACAGACTTAAAATATCTAGTTTGAGAAAATGTTATGATTGAGCTCTTCCTTGTGGTGCACGTTTCTTCTATTACATGATTCCTAGTTTGTTGTGCACGTTTTGTTTCTTACATAAATTTAATGGAGGTTTGGTAGATGATAACCAAAGGAGTGAAGAAAATATTTTTTTATTAAATTAAAGTGGTTATAAAATAATATTTTTATATTTTTTTAAATATTTTAAATTATTTAATAATGAATGACTCGTTCACCTTAATGTAGTTAGTACTTGAACTTGTGATTTTTAAAAATAATTATAATTTTTTAATGACTGAAATAGATTGATTATCAATCATTTAACAATGTCATTTATTTTACTGTAATCACTGGTATTTAAATCTGTAATTTTTAGAAATAAAAATTATTTTTTTAATAATTGGAATAAATTGACTCGTGTAAAAATGAAGAAAATATTTAAGTTTAGCAATTAGTCAAAGGATTCAAAATATAATAACAATAAGTATTGAACGGAAGAGCTTTGTATTTAAACCGTATAAACATGGTTCATATCGAAATGAAAACATTAAGCATTGGTCAAAGATAAGACCAAAAGAAGTGAGGGGAAGAAAACGTAATCTAATTTATTTGAATTAGGGATTTGACAAGATGAGAGTAGGCTCGGTCGGGTTAGATTTTTGACTAATTCGAATTTGATCCGAATATAATATCTATTTATCTGTTCTTCAATTTGATTTGGGATTAGAGATGTTTCATTCGATTTAAAGTCTAACATGATTTTTTGCATAAAAATCTATATTTAATTCTCATTATTATTAGGTGAAATAAGAACCTAACTGAAAATATATATAGAGAGAGGAGTATTATAACAATTATCTTTAAATACATAAATGTCAATTAGCTTTGATAGTTTGATAGTTTTGTTGTTTATGAGGAATTCAACTACTCATCTGGCCCAACCATCGTGAGTTCAATGATGCAAATTAATGGTTCCCAACCAGGGATGGATCGAAACGAGGCAGTTGGAGCGGTGGGAGCAGTCGGTTTTGAAAATTTTAAACTATCATATATTTAAGGATTTTTTTAATATATTTTTATTAATAATATTTTTTTATCCCTAGAATTTTATAAGTTCACTCCTCTTACAATTTTAGAAATTCATCCCCTAACATAAGATCCTACCTAAGGATGGACATGAGATTTGAACCTGATAGGTTCCGACCCCATTGGGTCGGATTTTTTTAAAAAGAATACACAGATAAGTTTTTTTAGAGGTTATGTTCGGGTCGGGTCGAGTTTGGATTTAGGGTGAAAAATACCCAACCTGATCCGACTTGAAAAAAATATAATTTTTTTCTTATATATTTAGAGATAATTACAATAATATCCATCTATATATTATTTTCTTTCAATTAAATCCCTATTTTTAGTGAATAAAATAATAAATCTATTATTTTGGGTCGAGTCGGGTTTAAATTTTATCTCAAAAAAGCGGGCCGGGTTCGGATCGGGTGGAATGTGTATATTTTTTGGGTGGAGTTCGGATTGGGTGGAAGGTGTATATTTTTTTGGTCGGGTTCGAATCGGGTGGAGGATTTATAATTTTCTGATTGGTCGGGTGGACTGAAAATTCGACCCAACCTGGCCCATGCACATCCTAATCCTGCTTCTTTCCCTTCACCCAATTGCTCATGTTTGATGAAAGTGGCCTAAAATTTTTCAAGTAATCTGGTTTCAGAAGGTGGGGAAGAAGGTAGGTGAATTCATTGCAAAATATTGGTTGGAAAAAGGGATCACAAAGGTGGCCTTTGATAGGGGAGGATATCCTTATCGTGGACGCATACAGGCCCGTGCTAGGGACCATGGCCTTCAATTTTAAACCTTGTGCAGGCAGTCTTCCTCTCTTGTTGTTTTTTGTTGAATAGTATTCAAGTGTGATTTGCATTTCTTCCATGAGAGAGCCTAATCTGTAGGTGATAAATCTCTGAAGCTCATTTGGATGTAAACAATCTTCTCCTTCACGTAACAAAGAACCAATATTGTTTTGCTCTGTAAAATATTCAATTCCGAGCCCCTTTAGGCCAAGGAGTTTGGCATCTTTTTGGTAAATTACATGTTTAGTACCTAAGCTATCAGTTTCGGTCCGTTTTAGCACCTAAACTTTTAATTTTTTTTCAAATCGTACATAAAATTTAGTTTTTATTTCAGTTTAGTACCCGCTAATAAAAACTTTAGTTTTTGTTCCATTTTAGTACCCCATTCAAAATTAACATTAAGTTCTGAATTTTTTTTAAAAGTTTAAGTATTAAAACGGACCATAACCGACAGTTTATGTACTAAATGCGTTAAGTTTTTAATGAAGGGTACTAAAATGAAATAAAAACTAAACGTTAGGTAAAGTTTTGAAAAAATAAAAAATTTATGTACTAAAACGGACCAAAACTAGTCATTTAGGTACTAAATGAGTAGTTTAATCTTTTTTAACAAAAGCAACTAGTTTTATTAAAAGAAAATACCCAAAATTAGGGATGAGAAACAAAACCGTGAAAATCGAAAATCGATATGAACTAGACTATGTGGTACGGTTCAGTTCAAAATTTTCCATTTGCGGTTCAATTTCATTTCAGTTTAAAATATAAATATACAATTTGGTTCGGTTTCAGTTTTATCATATGGAAACCGTTTGAACTGAATTAAAATAAAAAAAATAAGTATCTAAAACACAATCATTTTGAATTTATTATAAGACAAATTTAAATAAATAAAATATTAAAAATAATAATATTTTTTTATAAATTTAAATGTTCTTTTTTTGGATGTTGACTTTAAAAAATAGTAAACAGTTAGAAACTGTTGAACCGAACTGAAAACCATGGTTTTCAAGCCTTTCGGTTTCAGTTTCATTTTCCATTTTTAAAAACCTACAAAGTGCGGTTCGATTTATATTTTAGTAAAAACCAAACCGAATACACTCCTATCTAAAATTATAATAAATGTTTAAAATCATAAACTAAACACTTAGGATATTTTCATATAACCATTAACACTAGAAAACTGATCATTTGAGATCATAAACAATTACTATATAAGGAAAATGTTAAAAATTCAATCAAAATACTCAAACAAAGATAGATACGAATGATTCTAACTACATTGGCAAACAAACCACCAAAAGGATGAAAACTAATAAAAGACTTTCCATGAACATAATCGCATATCTCAATCCAATTCGGGTCCACTAATCCATTCCATGAGGAAACTAACGGAACACCGTTATATGTCGAACGATTGTTGGCTCAAATGGTGGTTGTGGGTTACCCGAGTTCTTTTTTATGAAACCATACATAAAAACAGAAATTCTGGGTAACATATTGTTAATGCTCATTTATAACTTATTTTAAATGCATTTTAATTCTATTTTAAAGAGAATTAAATTGTACTTTGAAAATGGTAATTTTACCCTCCCTATTTAGGTTATAAAAATAGTGGGTAATTTTACTCATTTCATATCATTCAAAAGCAATTAATGTTTGTTTTGAAAAATTCTTTGGAACTTTTTCTTAAGTATTATTTTGAGTTGATAGAACAACAGTACCACCAAAGTCCACTTCATCTTTCGGGTATATGAAATTTGGAGAGTTGTACTAATCTCGGATGAAGACACTAGTTTTTTATTTCATTTATTATTATTTTGTTTTAATATTATTATTATATTATAATATTATTTTTTTTATTTTTTTTATTTTTATTTTTATTATTTTTATTATATTACAGGCCCAAATTACAAACCAGACCGGAGGCCCAATTACAACCTATACTGGCCCAGACCCAACAGACCCAACTTGGTCCAGGCCCAGTTATAAGCAGAAACCCTAAACTGATTAGGGTTTCATCTTTTTCAGCCGCCAGCATCAATTTCAGCCGTTGGATCTGGTTTGATCCAACAGTCCACAACTTTCCAGATAAAACCCTAGGGTATCATAACCCTAGGGCCACGTCCCAGTCGCCGCCATTGCTTCTAGAGAGCCACGTCCCAGCCGCCACCAGATGGTCCAATATCTGCTGCCGACACTTGCTGCCTCACCGAGCTTTCCAGAAGAGCCAGTCGCCCCACACGTCGCAACTATTGGGGTGAGTCACCACATAGCTCGGTGACTCACCAAAGCTTTCTCTATTGACTGGTCCGACGAGAGCCTCTTCGAGACTATATGACCACACCTGCAAAAAGAAAAAAGAGGGCGACAAGGAGAGATACGAACAGAAAACAAGATAAAAAAAATATATCAAAGATCCCAGTCAACAACAACGAAGCAACCAGAAAAAAATCGAGAGAAAAGAGAGGAGAAACCCTTACCGAGGAAGCAGAACCACGGAGACTCCTTGCACCTTCACGAGCCACCATAAAAACAGAAATACCGAAGGTATTTCTTTAAGATCTGCGAAAATCCATGGATTTTTAGGCTAAACAAAGGTTAGGTTTGGGTTTGGATCGTCCCGATCTATCGTTTTGGGAAAATTTCATAATTTCCGACCACCGGCGACGGTGGTCGGCGGCGAGGAAGGTGGCGGCATACGGCTCCCGCCCGGTGACCGGCTTCCCTCCGGTGAGGGAAGCTAGAGAGAAGCGAGAGAAAATTTCTCTCTCAGTTAGAGAGAGAAGAGAAATGAGAGAAATGAGATGCTGGCCCTTCGGGCCAGCCATCATAGGGTATTTATACCCTCTCTTAAACGGCGTCGTTTAAGGGAGGATCTGTGTGTAATTTGATAAGGGTAAAACCCTTTCCGCAACCATTATAATTTTATAACCTTATATTTTAGTCACTGAACCCAATTTTAGATCTTTATAATTCGGTTCTTTAATTTTAATTTCATTTATTTTAGTCCTTTATATTAAATAATATATTTAGGATAAATATTGCATTTAGTCCCTCATAGTTTTATAAATTTTATTTTAGCCCTGAATAAGTAATTAAGGTTAAATTAAAATATTAGGATATAGATTTCTTAATATTTCGAATTTGATCTTTTATTTTCAATACTTTATATTTTGATCATATAATTT